AGGGTGGGGGGTCCTCCTAAGTGCTATCTATCATGGTAATTGGTTAGGTTGGGCCCCCATCCAGTAATACTTGTATATTAAGACTATGAGTATAAGGATCTCCAGTATTCCTTGTGGTCACTCTTAGTGGGTGGGGCCCAACTGAATCCTAAACCCTACACCCTTTTTTAACCAGGACCCTCTTAGGTGCTTGCAGCTATCCAAAACGTTTTACTAAGACTAAGACCTAAAGACCTTTTGGAATTCAGACTTTGCTCCAGGGTAAGCCTCAACCCTACACCCCAAACCTACATCATAGCATCACGGATTTGAACCATAAACCCAACACTCTGGTGCTGGAATGGGTTAAGAGGGACATCCTAAGAGAGTATATGGGGACTTTTGAAAAACAACCCCTACTAAAGAATCCCAAACAAGAACCTCATAATCGACTTAGCCAGTTCAAATTTTTCCTAGAAGCCACTCGGCCAGACAAGGACTGCCAAGACTATGGTCCCTTCAACGCGGTTATCGTGGTGATGCAGGGTTTGAGATTTAAGGAATAATTGCCAATATTATGGCCACATTCAGGGTTTCTAGGAGAAGTGAGCACTTTCTTGCGGGGTGCAACTGCATTTCTCAAGATGGGTATCCTTTTTCTCTACACCAAAAATAATGTCCCCCAGGTGGCGATTTAGTTGCAAACGTTAAAGGAAGGAGCTTGAAGAATTACGAATACTACGGTGAATACTAAAAATCCTGCATGACCCTAAGTAGCTTATACCTCCGGAATAACGGTACTATAGTATACTAAGGTCATCCAGGATTTTTAATATCAACAGTATTATTCCCTGACAATGCTTCGAGGTGTTGATTAGCCCCTACATGGTGTATTGTAAGGCCCGGAATAACTACCAATATTATCGTGAAGTCTATTGGAGGTAACGTCTGCTATAACCCGACAAGAAACCTAGACCACAATATGTAATTCAAACCCCATCTAAACCGAGCTTCCGTTTCATGTTTCACCTTCTTGTCCAATTGATTCTGCATGATACTCCACACCCTTTACCACCGTTAGCAAAGCCTACAGTCAGAGAGTCGAGAAGCAAAGGTGCTATGTTAATTGCTCCCCCTGCAACAGTATGTCCTTCCCATGCACTGACAAGGGCCGGGCATCCATGTATGCCGAGCTCTCGCAAAACCCTACATTAACCTTACACCCGGTCCTTCCTTACTGGGCTTCCTGGGATACGATGTAAGTTTAAGACTTCTATAGTCCTATTAGGATTCAGTCCACAGAAAACTACAAACAGTTCTCAAAATTGACCCGGTAAAGCCGAACTTCCCCCACCTCCATCCCACCACTTGGGACCGCCCCTTTGTACACTCGCGGGGGATCTGCTTCCATCTCATCCCGATCACCTGACGCCTGCTACCCACATGCTTTGCCCCTTCCGAGAAAGGAGTATGAACAGGTAATCTAGGGGCCAAAATGGTTTTTGTGCATACTGTGCTATACTCTGTGGAAAGGAGGAAGAGTTTTCCTAGTTAGTCAGGCTGTGGACGGATGATGGTCGTAGTCTCCCCCACTCTGGGCAGTCGCCCCAATCCAGGTTTGAGCTTCGCTTCAGCTAGACAACCCAAATTGGACCCAGACCCCAAAATTAGATCTCGTAGGACAATATGGGGAATCATGTAGGGATGATACAGGTGTATTATGTGCTTATATGAACCATAATCTAAACTCCTAGTATCCCCCTTAATAACTCCTGTTATATACCCCTCTATAATCTCCTATATATCCCCAATTTAAGGAGTTTGGACTGTAGCTCATATAGAGGATAATCGAATCTAAATTTCAGTTCCCTCGCGGGGTCTGGGGAGACGTCCGTAATCATCTCGTCCCACTCCCTGTGAGGCGATGAGCACGGACCATTGTGGTCTTTACCCATTGGTGTAATATTAGGATTATATTGGGGTTATATAGGGATAATGGAAAAGAAAATGAAAACTACTAAGTTTAGGATATATATTGGGGTTTAGAGTTTCTATTGTGTGCATAGTCTCACACTTCTAGACGAACCCTGTTTGGAACGATCGCGTGCAGTAGGGCTTTGGGTACATTAATTATGCTAGAATTGTTTACGGGTTGCTAAGAAATAGTATCGGCATTTGTAAAGGCAGCTTTGTCTTCCGAGATGAAGGATGGAACTCCTTGACTCTTTCTGAGGGCTCTGGAAAACCTAGTTACCTGGCAAGTGGCAGTATATCGTAGGTTGTCAAAATCATTGTCCCATTTTAGGCCCCTGGTATACCAACGGCCCCTGAGTGCCCAAAACGGACCATAGTTTTGACAATGCCATCCCACCCCCCCTCTCACAAAAAAAGCAAACACTTCTTCAGGAGCAAGCAAGCAAGCAGTAACGAAAACCCTCGACCCCCTGAGTCAGCTAAAGCCTCAACTAGCTTGAGACAGCTTACGCATTGGGTGTTCTTGCTTCTGAGCCGCCTTTGAAGCATCTAGCCGTTTGTTCTTCACTTGCAGTGGACGGGCGAAATCGTTTGAAGGTGTTGAAGCTGTAGGCTTTACCCATAGTTTTTGGAATATCTCCACACCATGAAACCCTGAATTTGAGCCTGCGGGCCGTTTAAGGCCCCTCAGGGTTTAGGGTCTCAGGGTCTCAGGGTGTAGGGCTTTATGGTTTTAGGGTTCTACTGTTTAGGATTCCAGCAGCTTTGAATGACCTATAAGCTGTCATAAAGGGAGGGAAGAATGGCCCCAAGCCTGAGCTGTGGCTAAGAACCCAGATCTCAAGGACATCCCAGAGCACCGTACCGTAAACCCTATAGGGTTTAGGATTTAGGGTTTAGGATTTAGGGTTTAAGGTTTAGGGCCCAAACCCTCCTGTAGCAGTAGTGATCACCTTAACAGTCTTAAGGTTGCCCTAAGCACGAAGCACCACACCCTAAACCCACAGGCTAGGGAAAACATGCGTGGGACCATGATGAAATAAGAATGTCCCGAAACGCCCTACCTGAACCCTATGTACCCTGAGTATGGACTAGTGTACAATATACATCAACATGAACCATTTGGGGCTTTCCCAAATTAGGGTTACCATTTTGGAGGTCCCCATAATAGCAATACAGTTGTTTGGGGCCTATATTAGGGTCCCCTTATTCTGGGACAGTACCATTTAGACTTGCAAGAACAAATGGCTAGAAGCGTCTACGCTACAGCCGTGGCGGCATCACCGCGAGGTGCCAATTCCTAGGCCAGCTACTTGCCACTCACACGGCTTTAGGGGTTTTAGGGTTAGGAGTTTTAGGGTTTAGGGGTTTGAGGGTTTAGGGGTTTGGGTTTTTAGGGCTTAGGGTTGAGGGGGTTCAGGCTTTAGGGGTTTTAGGGCTTAGGGTTTAGGAGTTTGAGGGTTTAGAGGTTTGGCGTTTCAGGCTTTAGGGTTAAGGGGGTTTAGGGTTTGGGATGTAGGGGTTTTAGGATTTAAGATTTGGGGGGTTTTAGGGGTTTTAGGTTTGGGGCTTTAGGGTTAAGAGGGCTTTTGGTTTAGGTTTTAAGGGTTTTAGGGTTTTAGGGTTTCAGGGTTGACGGCTTCCCTTGGTGTACCTAGGGTTACAAGGATCTAATAAGGACATTCGTGTTGATTATATGAGCGTTCGCCGAAACTTCTTGCATAATCCGATGCCATGGACAATTTGGGGGGTCCTATCGCTTTTGGGGGCTTCTGGCGTAGGATACAGGAAAGGTATCGCTTTTGGGGGGTTCAAACACAATCATGGTTGCGTCTTAGATTGAGGGGTATTGCTTTTGGGGGGTCCTATCGGTTTTGAGCTTTTTGCGCGATTCCTACATATCACAGCATTCCTTCTCTTCGTGGCTAATACGCGATTTTTGACCATTGCTCATATAAGGCTATATAGGGATGTGGTGAGGATGTTATAGGGATATATCAACAGTATGTAGGGTTCAGGGTTTCCAAAACTTAGCGGTTCCTTTTCGGGGTTCCTACAAGAAGGACTGTAGCAGTTTTGGGATACAAAAGGAAGAACCTAACTTCTGGAAACTCCCGCCATACTCATTCCCATGTCTCCCCTGCAACTCCCTGTGAAGCCTCCTTTCTGAGAGGGAAAACGCCTGCCTCACTGCCGGTACCGTAATTTGGGGTGACTGTTCCGCATGATTAAGATGCAGTATCCCTTTATTTCACGTACTTGGACTTTCCCAGGTAGGCTTTAGTGCTTTGAGGCTCAGCGCACCCAGAACAAACATGACTCTAACCATGCACCATGAAGACTACGCCCGTTAAAGCATCTAACACAGTGAATGTGTCATTGCGACTGTGCAGGAACGTAACTCTACGCTTTGGAAAAACCATCGGGACGCCAACAATCTGAGATTGTCACAGGCATGAGAAGGTTGTTTTTGATCACATGTCGTCCCATCCATGGGTTATGCACATTGAGGTCCTGTTGTAGGTACCATACGTGTTGGCGGGCGCTAAGAATCCACAAGCGACCTACCACACCAATACGCTCGCAATAGATCCCACAAGAAGGGTATCATGGAATCTGGGCCAGCAATCCCTGCCCCGGCGACCCACGATATCTCATGCTCCTCTGCCCTCACGAAATACCTACCCACACACCCAGTTCTCAACAGAAACACTGCATAGAGGTACTAGATTGGGAATATCTAGTGCTTCTTGTGGGAATGTTGTTTAATCATCATTCGTTGGCAGAGGCTACTCTGCATCAAGACAAGCGTCCCAGCACACGATTTCGGAGGAGCTCACTGAAATTGCATGGCCTCGACATAAGGTTTAGGGTTTAAGCTTTAGGGGTTGCTTTCCAGAATTTAGCGGTCCTTTTCTTGGGAGCTCTCATACTACTAGATTGGAATGTTGCGGTGTACAAAGTGGGGGGGCCATGTATTGGAAATTCCCGCACGGGCCACATGCAAGGAAACATCAAGACTCCAACCTTTAAACTGGCGGCCGTAGTTCCCCCAACAGTAAGACGGAACCGGAGATCAAAAAGGATCACTTTGCTTTTGAAAGGCAGGCTCATGGAGTTCCATATTGGTTTCTGGGAGGGCTCAGGCCACAGGGTGCAGTTTACAGATCCTCTGCCCAAGTCAAGCGGCTAACAAGGCGAAAATGGGACAGACTTTCAAGTGGAGTAGGCTGGCATAAGGCACATGGGGGATGTGATGTGATATGAATCTTCAAGCTCCTACACGACCGGCATAGTGGAACCAGCCTAGACTCGTAAGCTAGCTGCTAGAAACGCTGTTCCCCAGGAAAGGGTGAGTTCAATGCTATGGGTTAGGTGGACCCCCCTGACCAAATAATGCTAAATGTACGGCATAATGGTGATTACATTAGGGTCCTCTTATTTTCCGATTGTACTACTACTAAAGAGTGGGGGTCCACCTAAGCTACGGGTCTCTGTCTTCGAGATATGTACCTCATGTTTGCCGAACCCGCTGCTGGGCATTTGCCTGAGAGCTCCGTGCCCTTCTTCAATCAGACTAAGGTTTGTTTTGGGAGACCGACAAAACCAGGACTGCATGCCGAGGCAGACAGATGATACAAGCTTATAGCAGGGTCCTATAGGCCTTTTCCGTCTAAGCTTGCCACTGCTGAAACCTCCAGTTTAGGCGCTTGAACCTTCAGCCCCTGATCCCGGTACAAAGTTAGGTAGGGACAAGAATGCCCAACCCCCGCATCATGAAGCCCCGGCAAAAATTCCTCCATCCAATGCATCAACGAGCCTGAAAGGAAGCTCAGCTGATGTGGAGCCTCTGCCTTAACATGGCAAGCCCAGGAAGCTATATATGACTATCCAACTTAGCTTTCGAATAAATATGCGCCTACTATCGACATATGCATATGCGTATATGTATAAACATGATTGAAAATTACATTGTAGAAAATTTCTGGTATAAATGTGTACTGCTTCTTGTAAATTGGGCCTGTTGGTTTAGGCTTGCAGAAGAAGAGGAAAATACTCGGATGCGCTTTAGGGTTTAGGCTTGCGTTTCCTTGTCTTGGGCATAGCAGGACTAGGTTGCACGTTGACCCGTACCGTTCGAATGGCGAGCCTCTGCCCCTGCTGCAGGAGCTTCTCTGCGATTCCGGTACTGTTGAAGACACAGCTTGAACGCACTGCTCTAGGGGTTTGTAGGGTCCAGGGCCAATATAAACCAATTGATGCGCAGATTTGGCTCGCCGCTCAGAAACGCTTGGCCCATGCTAGCCGGCTAAAGTACTAAAATTATGAATAACCGCAAATACCTTATACTTCGCAGGGGCGTTTATTGCTTTCAGGCCATGCAGAATGTCTGTATTGGCAGAACCCGCCGGTTTCATCTTTGGGTCCTCAAATCTCGGTGTCTCGAAGGTTACTTCTATCAAGGTTGGCAGAAGAGCCGTCCTTTGACCGCTTGGGTTCCAGTATGTTCGGGTGTAGGTGAATTATTATTCCTTACTTTCCTGAAGCACCAAGCTTGGTTGGCCTTTAGAGACCCTTGAAAAATATTAGTATAGATGGTTCCCTATAAGACCCATAAGGGGAAATATTTACGGAACCCAAAGGCCTACCCAGCAAGGGAATTTCAACAACTGTTGGCCTTCTTTTCCAGAGCCTGGGATGGTGAAATGAGAAGACTAAAGCTCCAAGGAGCTTTCATGCTGACGAAGTGATGGAACCACAAGAGCTATAGAGAACACTACCATCTCCCCTTCCCAAATGGCCAGGACGAGGGATGTACCGCAGCCACCCATCCTTGTCCCTGAAATAAGACACCCCACCCTAACCCTACCCTGGCCCAAATCAATATCCAGTATGCCTCCCCCACAGAGATAGGCGACACTCAAGACTTTTTCAAAATAATCAGCGTGAGAGCTGGCACCTGACCTTCGGGGAAGGGACGTAACCACTAATGTAGCATCGGTGCCGCGGAATCTCCAGAATGCTCTCTATGAAAGCCCAAGGGGCCAACGTAGGGTTTAGGGTTACAAGTTAATCACCCCGACAAGGCCTTACAATATCCCATCAACACCTTTGGTGGTATCATTTTTGCCGATCATCTGACTCTTGTTAAAAAAGTCTGATGGTACCCTACACTCTATAAGCCCTGTACCAACAACACAACAGTCCAGATGCAGTTGCATAGTCGAAGCTTGAATACTCAAACGGTGCAACAGGTGCCGGCCGGTCTTGCAAACAAGCCTGGGAAATCTCCATGCAGGAGTTTGACTATCTTCCTGTTCCAAAAAAATGGGGTAGGGAACTTATAATGCGCATCTTTATCCTGAACTTGAGTCCTAAGTTCAGAAACCCTATACACACGACAACAATCTGTGGATCCGGGCGTGTGCAATGAAGCTCTGCTCAAGGTCCACAGCGTAAGCTGAAGCAGAGGCATCCTCGGAAGGGTCTTGCTATCTAAGCTTCCGCAGTTGGAGGGTCATGGCTACTTAGTAAGTGGGTTAATAATGGGGATAGCAGGGGGTTATTATATGTCATTATATGGGTTGTAGGGGTAATAGGTATAACTACTTAGTGCCCCGGACCCTCCAAGCAGAGAAACCAGGAAAGTATGGACGCTCTGAAAATTTGGGGGTTTAGGGTTTTGGGTTTAGGGTTTAGGGTTTAGGGGGGGGGGTCCAGGAATTCTGTGAGGGTCGATTACTGCTTTGGGGTTGGGGTTACCTCCGTCGATACCATGAAGATTGAAGATGGGACTTGAAGGAGGGCTCTGTTTGAAGACAAGTCCCCAAATCCTAAACCCTAAACCCCAAATCCTAAACCTAAGCCCAAACCCCAAATCCTAAACAACCATCCGAAAGGTCGCGTCAATCCGTTTAGGCTCTCCTGCTATTCTACACTGCAGGGTGCAGCGTGTCAGGTTCCAAGCATCTAGGGCTGCTAACCCCATCCCCCTAATGCGGTTTAGGGTAATATTAAACCCCCCAGCCCCCTAATCTAAATACTCTCAATGTATTATAGGATACCACAATGGGGGGTGTTTGATTTTAGGGGGGTGGGGGAATTTAAGTTAATATTGGGGGGAGAGGATTGCTGGGGCAACCTTAGGTTGGGGTTTAGGGTTTACGGGTTTCGGACATGGGGTTTAGGGTTTAGGGATTCCTCGTGCTATTGGGGGTTACAACTTCGTTGCGCATAGATTACAAAAGCATGGTCTCTCGTAAGTGGCAACCATCAAGGAAGGCCGAGATACCATGAGAAGACTCATCGCAGAACCCGTCCAATAGCAAAAGCAGTTTAAGAAGCAAACTCGCGGCCAACATCCTCCCCAACACTAACGTTCAAAGTGAGGCCGAACCAAGGTCAGGTCCATTTGCTTGTTCCATTTCTCAACCCCATATTGCCTGACAAACTCACCCGAGACGGCCCCTGCAAGCACCTAATTTCTAATCCAACTGCATTCCCTAAAACCTAAACCCTAAACCTTAAACCCTAACCCCTAGCTGGTCTTCCGAGAATACTGGCAAGGCAACTTCGTCAAGCAAGGTAAATAGCCCCCAACCCCTCCACCCTGGCCCTACATGGACTACAGTCCTTTTACCCGGATAATCACTGGACATGGGTTCCTTGCTAGGGACTCAAATAGAGACTACTAATCGACACGATGGTCCCCAAGGTCCGCCCTTGTTGGCCCGTTCGTAACCCTAATATTGACAGTAGCTCACACCCCTACCCATGTGTAATAAGGGGACTTTTGTCGAACCAACCCCCAATGCAAGGAGAAGTAAAGAGTCAAATGGGAGTTCTAGGGTCCTGGTGCTGGAGGTTGGCGCAACCTAAAATCTCTCATTGCTACCTGATGTATAGCTCTATAGACGCCTATATAAATCCAGTTCCCATTGCATTTCCCATGTTCCATTTGATTTTCCAATTCGGAATAATATTCCTAAACCCTCTATACATATATATATATATCCCATACCCTAAAGCCACCTTATTCAGATACCCAATCTCCTTAAAAAAGCCTTTGCTCAGGGCATTTGCATCCCGTGCGCCTCAGTCTCCTCTCGAGCAGCCACCCGCGCAATCCTGCTGGGCAATAAAGGGCTTAGGGTTTATAGTCCCCCTTAAATAGATAGAACATGGGGTCTATGGGGATCTGATTATAATATACCCGAAACCATATTCTATCTACTTAAGGGGGACTAAAACCCCTAAACCCTAACCCCTAATCCCTATATTCTATCTACTTAAAGGGGACCGCAGGTTTTAGGGTTTATCGAAGGTTTGGAATCCAAATCAGAGGGCCCTTCTGCGGGAATCCCAGCAGCTTCGGTCTCATGAATCCCCATCCCTCTCTTTTCAAACTCTCCCCCTACTACGTATATGGAGATAATCGAAAAGAAGATGGAAACTACTATAATGGCTTATATAGGGGTATATAGGGTTGATGGATTGGGGTTCAGGTGTATTTGGGCTGGGAGTATTAATTGGGGGTCAAGGGGGGGGCGGCATTGCTAGCAGGCAATCCTGAGGGGGGTTAAAGGCTGAGAGCTGGGGCCTTCTGAAATTATGCTGTGAAAATACGCGCGTGCGCGTATCTTGCATGTCCTGAATTGAGACGAAGGCATGTCTGTGTCGTGAATGCACAAGGGAACCCTCATACTATCAAGCTTGCTAAAACAACTCCGCACTTCTCGAAAATCCCCCACAAGCACTCCAAATACAAGTTTGTTACTGCCTGTGAATAGAGAACGGAGGAAGTATTCGCCATAGGGTTTAGGGTGTAGAACCCCCAATCATGCAGCAATTCCATCTAAGGTTGGTTGACCATCTAAGGTTGATACCATGGACCCATAGTAAGGGCCCTTAACCAAGGGATCCTTATATACCTACAAAATCCTACAAAGTACCCTATATGTACCCGTAAAAAGCGGCCCTAGAATCCACCTCAAACGACCTAAGGGCCCATACAAGGGGCCCATACGTCTAAGCTTAGGTTCCACTTTTCCTACTAACAACACGCCAAGGTGATGCTTTGGACCCTAAAACCTAGACCCCACGCTGCTTAGGGGTTAGGGCTTTTATCGGGAAACCAAAATCTAAAGTTTATTTTTCCGCCATGAAACCGGTGTAATATAAACCCCCTGTCTACCCTTCAATCTTGCTCGGGGTTGCAGCGTTCGGGCTCAGCGATTTGGCTAGAGGTTTTCTCTAGACTTGGGAAATAGCCAAACTCACAACTTTTACCCCTGGTGGGCTCAATCAAGACCGTAAACCCTCCAACTGGCCTGGAACACTACCCGGCCCCCAGTAGTAGATTGACTCCTCTGGGACTTCTTTGTGAGTTGGCGGAAGCATGACCCCCCTGAAACCCCTAAACCCTAAACCCCTGAACCCTAAACCCTAAACCCCTGAAACCCAAACCTTAACCACCTTCAGAAAAACACGGCTGCTCCTCAGAAGCTTGTCAGCCTCAGCGGCGACAAGATGACCCAACCCTAAACGTTTAGGGCTTGGGGTTTAAGGCCAGAGGTTCAGGAGTGCCATGGGTGGGTACAACCACGGGGTCGGTACTTGCCATTGTGGGCTTTTTTTTGACCTAGAATACGTGCTTTGAAGGTTTAGGTAATGAGGATGTATACTACTACTTGCAGCTTACGCTTTCGAATTTACTGTAGGGAGTTTAGGGCGTGAGGTGGTAAGAGTTCAAGGCTTAGCCTTCAACGTCTAGACCCCTAGCACTAACCCCCCTATGGTTTTGCAGATCCCTGGGCTCTTTAGCTTCCCTTGTTATATTGATATAGACTATCCCTAGCTGCCCCCCAAGCAATGGGTAAATCGCACGTCTTCGAAACAGTTCCTTGCAACAACAGCAATCATTGAGACAGCTTCTGATAGTGCGAAATCTCTGGGGTTCTGAAAGTGACGCTCGAAGAGAGGAGCCCGTACGGGCCTGTGAACTGTACAGGGGTTGTGGGGAGTTACGAGTTGGGTGCCCAAATAATCCCTTACATCAAGTCTACACAAGGTTGGTAGTTCCGGGGAGCTGAAGCTAAACATGCACACATATGCTTTACGTTAGGGAAACGGCCCACCTCAGGGTTTGAAACTATTCGAATATAGTCCCCCTTTAAGTAGATAGAGTATGGCTTTGGGTATATTATAATAAGATCCTCATATACCCCATATTCTATCTACTTAAGGGGGACCGGGGACCATAGGTTCCCTGAGTCTCTGAGCCCCACGCAGCGTTTGCAAGGAAAGCAGGGCCTAAGCCCTAAACTCAGTTGCTGTTAAGAAAGCACGTGAAGCAATTCCCAAGCCCCAAGCCCTGAAACTGGGTTGCAGTTCAGGAGCTTAAAGTACCATGACGCTTATGGTGGCTTGACTTAAGTTCCTCAAAAGCAACCCGGCCGACCTCTAACCCCTAAACCCTCAACCTCTAAACCAGACCACGAGCCTACTTTAAGGGGACCACGAGCCTACTTTAAGGGGACTTTCAGACGGGCAGTTGCGAGGTGCGTTTACACAGGGCTTACAGTAGGTGCTTAGATGGGTAACCTTTGAATTTTCATTCCTTTCCTTGAAGGGTCAGGTCCCTCTTTTTGAGTTGTCTGAAGAATCCTATACCCCCCCATAACATGTAAAGGATCCCTACCCAGTACATGCTTGACCCCGAAACCATAATCCAAAAAGGCCAATACCCCCAAGTTCGGTCAAAAAAGCTAAATCATAGAAAGGATGCTACAGTAGCATCATTTAGGCCGGCAACTGTAAACCCCACACCTGAATTCCCTGAGCCCTACACCCCAAAGCCTGAGCCCTAAACCCAAATTAAGAGGTACTGGGGATGTTTGGGAAGCTCAGCCCAGGGCCGATGCGTAGAGGAGAGGCCAGGGGGCATCTCCCGTGTCTGCCAGGTGTATGGAGCCTCGGTCCAAGGTAGACTATGCCCTTTTGAGGGGATTGCAGGGGATGAAACGGGTTTGGGCTTTAAAGGGTTTGTGGTTCAGAGGTTTTTGGTCGCAAAGGGGAATGGAACAGGAGATGGGGACTGCTACTTTATTTACATTACTTGCGGTTTATCTTGGGATATGCGGTATACATATATATATACATATATACACCTGTTTAATATCTGAACCCAGAAAACGTCGTGCTGCACGCCCAAGTTTTTTCGCATTTCATTGTTGGATTACAATTCGGAAAAAGAGATATACCGGCTTGTGGGGGGTGGTGTGGAATATGACAGGTTGGTATGGAAGTTCTCCATATGAAATGACGCCGGCCGGCTGCGCAGGACCCATATACATACCTAAATAAGAGCTCATGGAATTCAGAAGTTCTCAGGTAGATTGAGGAGAGGTATTGCCACTTATCATTAACTAAACTGAACTTCATGCATAGACAGCCAGCGGAAGATTTAGAGTGTGGGTATGTCTTTTTGTTTTTATTCTGTCAACCTTTCAAGGCGCGCAATGAATGCTTGTTTTCACTGAACAAACACAGGCCTGTATTCGACGCGATCTCCAGAACATGTATTTATATATACATGTAAAAACTCCAACACGGGTTGCCGCTCGGCATTCAATACACAGGCCTGCATTCCTACGGGATCTGCCTCTATGTATGTATGTATGTATGTATGTACGTATGTATGTAAGTGGTAGTTTCCCAAAATAGGGGGACCCCAATATAGACCCCAAAATACTATAGTCCTTACTATTAAGATCCCCAAAATGGTACCCCTAATGTTGGGAAACCCCCATGTATGTATGTATGTATGTATGTATGTATGTATGTATGTAGGTACACGTGAAAACTCCAACGCAGGTCGCTGTTCAGCAAGTCTGGAGATGATCCTTTTGGGCTCCTGCTTGGGCCTCCCAGAGGGGGGTTCTGAAGGGCCCAGGGGTCTCCAGGGATAATGGAAAAGAAAATGGAAGCTACTATAATGGGTTTTATAGGGACCACAACTGTTGATGCTAAAAATCCTGCATGACCTAAAT